ATAAATAATTAATAATATAATATTTATAATATTCTGTACTTACTATGTGCATATTAAATAATATTTAACTGCCATGAGTTACGTAAACCTTTGTATTTGTTTTACTATTTTGCCTATTAATATTTATACGTGTAATGTGTTTGATTGTTAGGAAAATGGGTAGTTGCAAAGAGAAAGTTATAGTGCTGGTTATTTTTTTTAAACCTCCCCCAGAGCAAATTTGAATGTACGCCACTGTCAATTCGTTATTAAATATTCGGTGTATGGTGTTCAAAATGTGTCTTAATTAATGTGTCTACTAATAATTTATCAGGAATCATAATTTCTCTCTCCGTAAGAACCATAATCGTACTTCAAGGCGTTGAATAAAAAAAAAATTAGCGAAATCGATTCAGCTGCTCTCGAGTTTTGTGCTTAACAGGGCCTAAAATTAGGATATTTTGCTACTGTACACGTATTAATTCCAAACCAAAATATTTTAAAATAATGAACATAGACCTATATAGTTTTGCACATGCCACAAATAACTTCATTGCATAATTATTTTTGCTATTCATTAATTAGTTATGATAAATACAATCTAAGACTATCTTCTACAAAATTCCTTGATACCAATATGGCTATATCGCTGAACATTTTAAAATTAAAAACGAAATAGCTTGGGTTAATACACTTATTATATTATAAGCCAACCAGCATATGGTGTAATTGGTATTATTATTTATTTTAAGTGTTAAGGATTATAAACGAATACAATATGATGCTACTTAGAAATATTAAATAATCAAAATTGGATAATATAATATTTGGATTTTATTTAAATAAATAAATAATAATCAAATAAAAATGTGCAAAAGCCAAAAATAAGTACTGCACACTTTTAAATTTCCAACTGGACAATTATTATTGTGCCTCTATTGGTACAGATTGTATATAACTTATAAAAATAAAAATAAATAATAATCTAATATTTGATAGAATTATTTCTGTTCAAACATCAAAACTAAAATAGACAATTTACCTAGTCATGGAGTAACGCTTTTGGCAAAAAAAAATTACAAATTATTTAAATCAGGAAACTGATTGAAAAATGTTTTAAACAACAATTCTGTTACATAGATTATGAGGTAGATTGATCTAATTTTGACACTTTCAACTGGGCTCAACTATTTATATAAATAGTGGTCTAAACGTTGATCCAAAAATAAATCGGAAAATGTTTGTTTTTACTTACATAGGTGTGGGCGACATACCTGTTGAAGGCTTTTTACTACAAATTTAAATAAGTATGCATTTTTTGACGGAAGGATTTCTGTTCAAACTTCAAAACTAAAATTGATAGTTTACCGTGTCATTGAGGAACGCTATGGGCAAAAAAAAATTACAAATATTTTAATTTTAATCAGGAAACTGATTGAAAAATGTTTTAAAACAACAATTCTGTTACATAGATAATGAAGTAGATTAATCAAATGTTGACGCTTACACCTGTCTAAAACTATTTATTTAAATAGCAGACTAAACGTTGATCCAAAAATAAATCGGAAAATGTTTGTTTTTACTTACATAGGTGTGGGCGACATACCTGTTGAAGGCTTTTTACTACAAATTTAAATAAGTATGCATTTTTTGATGGAAGGATTTCTGTTCAAACTTCAAAACTAATTTAGGTAGTTAACCGTGTCATTGAGGAACGCTTTTGGCAAAAAAAAATTACAAATATTTTAATTTTAATCAGGAAACTGATTGAAAAATGTTTTAAAACAATAATTCTGTTACATAGATTATGAGGTAGATTGATCTAATTTTGACACTTTCAACTGGGCTCAACTATTTATATAAATAGTGGTCTAAACGTTGATCCAAAAAAAATTAGGAAAATGTTAGTTTTTACTTACATAGGTGTGGGCGACATACCTGTTGAAGGCTTTTTACTACAAATTTAAATAAGTATGCATTTTTTGATGGAAGGATTTCTGTTCAAACTTCAAAACTAATTTAGATAGTTTACCGTGTCATTGAGTAACGCTTTTGGCAAAAAAAAAATTACAAATATTTTAATTTTAATCGGGAAACTGATTGAAAATTGTTTTAAAATGAAAATCCTGTTACATAGATAATGAAGTAGATTGATCAAATTTTGACGCTTACACCTGGCTAAAACTATTTATTTAAATAGCAGTCTAAACGTTGATCCAAAAATAAATCGGAAAATGTTTGTTTTTACTTACAAAGGTGTGGGCGACATACCTGTTGAAGACTTTTAAATACAAATTTAAATAAGTATGCATTTTTTGATGGATGGATTTCTGTTCGAACTTCAAAACTAAAATTGATAGTTTACCGTGTCATTGAGGAACGCTATGGGCAAAAAAAAATTACAAATATTTTAATTTTAATCAGGAAACTGATTGAAAAATGTTTTAAACAACAATTCTGTTACATAGATTATGAGGTAGATTGATCTAATTTTGACACTTTCAACTGGACTCAACTATTTATATAAATACTGGTCTAAACGTTGATCCAAAAAAAATTAGGAAAATGTTAGTTTTTACTTACATAGGTGTGGGCGACATACCTGTTGAAGGCTTTTTACTACAAATTTAAATAAGTATGCATTTTTTGATGGAAGGATTTCTGTTCAAACTTCAAAACTAATTTAGATAGTTTACCGTGTCATTGAGTAACGCTTTTGGCAAAAAAAAAATTACAAATATTTTAATTTTAATCGGGAAACTGATTGAAAATTGTTTTAAAATGAAAATCCTGTTACATAGATAATGAAGTAGATTGATCAAATTTTGACGCTTACACCTGGCTAAAACTATTTATTTAAATAGCAGACTAAACGTTGATCCAAAAATAAATCGGAAAATGTTTGTTTTTATCTACATAGGTGTGGGCGACATACCTGTTGAAGGCTTTTTACTACAAATTTAAATAAGTATGCATTTTTTGACGGAAGGATTTCTGTTCAAACTTCAAAACTAATTTAGATAGTTTACCGTGGCATTGAGTAACGCTTTTGGCAAAAAAAAATTACAAATATTTTAATTTTAATCAGGAAACTGATTGAAAAATGTTTTAAAACAATAATTCTGTTACATAGATTATGAGGTAGATTGATCTAATTTTGACACTTTCAACTGGGCTCAACTATTTATATAAATAGTGGTCTAAACGTTGATCCAAAAAAAATTAGAAAAATGTTAGTTTTTACTTACATAGGTGTGGGCGACATACCTGTTGAAGGATTTTTACTACAAATTTAAATCAGTATGCATTTTTTGATGGATGGATTTCTGTTCGAACTTTAAAACTAAAATAGATAGTTTACCGTGTCATTGAGTAATGCTCTTGTCAAAAAAAAATTACAAATATTTTAATTTTAATCAGGAAACTGATTGAAAAATGTTTTAAAACAACAATTCTGTTACATTGATTATGAGGTAGATTGATCTAATTTTGACACTTTCAACTGGGCTCAATTATTTATATAAATTGTGGTCTAAACGTTGATCCAAAAAAAATTATTAAAATGTTAGTTTTTACTTACATAGGTTACGTGGATTATTATTTTGATTGATTTGATTTTGACGCTTACACCTGTCTAAAACTATTTATTTAAATAGTGGTATAAACGTTGATCCAAAAATAAATCGGAAAATGTTTGTTTTTACTTACAAAGGTGTGGGCGACATACCTGTTGAAGACTTTTTTACTCAAATTTAAATTACACTTTGCTAATTAGTAATTTGCAATAATCAATATTGCATATTAATCATATAAAAATTTTAAAAAGTTGAAAAAAAATAACTGCATATTTTTATATTTTCTTCTGCCCATAGTGTGTGCTATTGCACACAATTTTAGGCCCTGGCGCTAAGCAACACATTCAGTGATTTATTTTTATACTATAGATATTAGCATCCCACTTTTTAGAGGTCAAGTGTAGCCTAGATGTACACTAATGCATTTGTTTGCTAGGTATATGTACTATAATATTATAATATTAGATATTTATTAATCATTAATTTTACAGATCAGAATGATATTATTTTTAAATTTGTTATTTTATTAATATTCAAGATCCACATTTACCGTGGTCATAACATTTAATTTATAAAATGTATTTTCCAACATTTATATAATAATAATATCATATATTAGTTAAGATATAAATAGAAGTGTATTCATTTTAATAAATTATATTATTATAAAAGTATTGAGACCACCTCAAGTCTCCACATGATTAGTAAATAAAAATTGTATGCCAATATTATAATTAATTTTATAATAATGTAGGTATAATGTATTAATGTACGTATTTCATTTTTATATATACCTAATGAGTAATGACCAAGATGCATTATATTATATCCATTTAGTTACACGCCATACGTCACTTCGCCGCATCGGTACCATAACAAATTCTTTTTTATTCTTTTTATTGATGGTTGATTTAATTTTTTGCCTTTAGGTAAGTACGATAGTCGTGGACTTGTTATTACAAATTGACAATGTATATAATTATTATGAAAGTAAATATTATAATAAGCACTAGACACGCAAGTACGCAATAATGTGTTCGACAAACGCATTGGTGAGCTTCCAGCGAAACATTCATTCCCACTCCTTTCTATTCGGCCTTGAACATAAAAATCACTCTACCAGAACATTAATAATTACACTTTACATATATAATAAATATCTGTCTGCGACCGGTCTGATATGATAGTCGACGGTTGAGTGTTCGATATTGTAAACGCGTATTCATTTTATGTCCGTCGTGAATTTGTTGCCAGTTTGTTATAAACCATAATTTGATTGTAAGCTTATCTTTATATGCATGTTATATTTATTTAATTTATACAGGATTTTCAGTTGTTATATCTATATTCTATAATTATTATAATTTACCGTTCAATTGATTATATAAAATAACATTTTAATGTTATTAATATTTGTGTATGTTATAGCCGAGTAAAGTTTTAATAATGACTTACAAACTAACATACTTCAACTTCACTGCTTTGGGCGAACCCATCCGATTCCTGCTATCTTATTTGAACATTGATTTTGAAGATGATCGTATCGAAGTCGAACAATGGCCATCAGTCAAACACAGTAAGTCGTTTAAAATGTGAAGATTATTGTATTACTGTTTATTGATATTAATTTGTTTATAAAGCTATGGTTTGTATAATGTTTGTCAGATATATTTTTTAAATGTTATTCAATAGACAATGAAGTAATAAACTTGAGTTAATAATAATTAAGTCAAGATAACATTCAAATCCTAAAGTTACTAATACCTACCTAATAATAGTATATTATGCAGAAAAATATTAACTTAACTCAGTTAAAAACAAGTAAATTCATTTTCTTTTAATTAGGTACCATCTGCATTAATAACTAGTGCAACTTTCAAATTAATTAAAAATAATTTTGTTAAAATTGCACCCTACTTCCTATCACTCGGTAAAATACAAGACATCATACTGCCAAAATCAAATTTGTAAATTTTATGTCGTGTAATTCATAGTATCATTATATTATGAGTATTATGTTTTTTCAGCCATCCCATACGGTAAGGTCCCGTTGTTGGAAATCGATGGTAAAGTATTGAATCAATCTACGGCCATCTGTCGCTATTTAGCTAAAAAGGCTAATCTAGCTGGTAGAGATGATTGGGAATCTTTATTGATAGATATTGCCGTTGATAATTTTCAAGATTTTCGTCTAAGTAAGTACGAGTCTCTCCGTCTATGTACCTACACTGAAAGAACTATTTAAAGTGTTTAACATTATTTTTAAAGGTATAATATCGTATTGGTATGAACGAAATGAAGAATCTAAAGCTGCAAAATATGCAACGTTGGTCAACGAAACTATTCCATATAATATGGAACGATTTGAAAACATTGTTGTTGAAAATAATGGATACTTTGTAAACGGAAATGTAAATAACGTATTAAACCTCAATGATTTAATTATTTATTTGTACTTAAACTAAATTATTTTAAAGAGTACCTACATAATTTTGAATTCATTTTGTAACACGGTGTTATCGATGTATCGATATAGTAAATTAATAGATTTTAAAAACTTAAAATTATATTAACTATTGTAAGTCAGTTACTTTGACAGGTACCTACTGCTTTTATTATTGAAATACATTTAGGTGGATATAGTAGGCAGTGCCGGCGCTAGGTATTGCGGGGCCCTGGACATAGGTAGGTAATAGCCTTTAGGTTCTCGGAGAGGGGTGAAGTTTTAGTTTTTTTTAAATCAGGATTTTAAAAAAAGTACTGTTTTTCGTCGAATTTTAAACACTTTAATAATATTAGGTTATTCTTATTCTTTTTTTTAACACAAAATTATTTACAAATAATAAAATAATAACTAATTAGGTACATAGGTGCAACAACAATATATAAATATTTAATTGAAGTAAGAACATATTAATTTTATATTAAAATATTTTTTTTCTCGATTTACTCTGAGCAAAGGCATTGATGACTTCTTCATAATTTATTGATTTTGATATCTCTATATAGGTAAATAATTAAATTTAAATAATGCTCTGTCAATTCTTAATGAATCAAGATATTTTAATGAAACAAAAATCAAATTAAAGCTTTTTCTTTATCTTTGTTATTCACTTGCCCCATATATAATTGTATGTAATACTAATAGCAAAAACAATCCGATTTTGCACTTGCCCCATGAAAAGGGGCAAGTGTGACGTTTTAAAATTAAAAAAAAAATAAAATTATTCTTAGGTGAGTGATAATATAACTTTGTTGACTATAAATTCCAATTATGTATATCTAGAGGTGTTACATTATGGAACAATAACAACTTTAAGTTAAAAACAAAAAAAGTATTGTCAAATTCAAAATTAACTTTTCATTTTTGCGTCACACTTACCCCACTTTACCTTACCTACTTGTGTAAACGGAGACAACACATTCGAGTGCGATTCCTCCTGATGAAACCTTGCTCAGCACAGAATTAGTGGCGTAGCGTGAGTTTCAGTTAAACCTTTGAGTGGAAAATCGTAGGCTAATAAATTCATAAGGGCTGGTTATTTTATTAATTTACATTTATTTTAACAACTACATAAAATCATCAATTAAATATAAATTAATTCATCAAAATGTTTGAATAAAATAATAAATTGTTTAATATTTAAGTACGCTGTACGCGACCGCGGCAGGCAGAATAATGCAATATACGACGGTAGACAATAAATATTAAAACTAATCCTGATTCCTGATACACTGTAGAGTGTAGATACTCACGCAGTACCTATATTTAAATATTTAATACGGCTATACTCTAAACTTAAGTGTAATAATAATTTCATAAAATAAAAACTTACTCTTGTGATATGCAGAAAACTGCACAAAGTGGACTGCGGTCAATTAATACTCAATTAATGACTAACTGAATTTATGTTAGATAATCAAATAAATATTTTAAGAATATAGCTTTGTCCCCTTCTATAATACGGCGATACGGGCATACAACACGCGGAAAGCCTTTCCAAATAAAGAACAAAGAAAACAATAACCATAGAGATCATAAATATTTATATTATTATTTATAGTAAGAATCCTACTTGACGGATATCGTCAAAATATTACGCTTTCGTTGTATCAATAACGATTTACTCTGTAGTTTGTACTATGGCTAAATTTAGATATTGTTTTCCAAATAACTGGTGATAGGCATAATATAGATTTATAATTGGTTGATATAAAATGTCAATGTGTCTCACACTCTCACGGTATTCGTATTAAGATGATAATTAAAAATCACGGGGCCCTTTAACAAGCGCGGGGCCCTGGACAAATGTCCCATTTGTCCTCCCCTAGCGCCGGCACTGATAGTAGGTATATTGTAAACCTGGTACAATGCAACTGAAAATACTGCCAAGTTTGTGAATATGTAATTATATTGTATTTATCTGAAAATTAAATAATCCAAACGTTTTTATAATAATAATATCAGAATTCAAGATTAAATATTAAATATTTATCAGCTTTCAATTTATTTTTTTGCATGTTGTCATTCAGCTAGACAGTATTAAAGGCTTACAGTGCCGTTATTTTAACTATTGTTTTAATTTTATTTTGTCTGGGAGTCATGATATGCATGTTGTAGGCAATTACAGTTTACCTATATGGCTATATAATAGTTGTATTTATTATATTTAATTACTAAATAATATGTACCTATAGCCTATAGTCAAATCACCTATATTATGAACAAATAATTCCAATACATATAAAACATAACAAATTTCTTTCATAAGTATTTAATAATTAAATTTTTAGTATAAATTTAACAACTTATAGATTTAAGCATTGTTCATAATATATATGATTTTATTGTATGGAATTTATTATAATTATGTCAATGTTATATTATATCATTATAATTTATTATCAACACGTAATTTTAATTATAATGTACTAATATATTATAAATTTATAACTAGTACCATCATTTTTGTGGATTATGTAGGTAGCCAGGTAGGTAGATGTTTTAATGCGTTAGTGTGTATACACTTGAATAGTTAAATGTACATAAAAAATTTAAATTAGTAAATAATTCAAATAACAATCCAATACCTAGTATGTTTTAACTAAAGGTGGTTTACAATTAACAATATTGTACTTACCAGTTACCACGATGTATCTTTTTTTTTCAGTTATCTTGGGCCGATTTATTCTTTGTTGGAATTTTGGACTACTTAAAATTCAGATCTGAAATAGATTTGTTGAAAGATCGTCCTAACTTACAAGCTCTCCGAGAAAAGGTATTGGCAGTACCCAAAATCAAATCATGGATTGAAAAACGACCATCAACTGTTGACATTGCATAATTTCGTCGTCTTTGTTGGACATAATTAATTAAATCATATCAAAGCCAATATAAAATTAGATTAAGTATTATAATATATTAATCAAACACAATATTTAGTAACATTTTATGTAGAAAAATAAACTATAGTTACACTCAGAGGCTACAATGTTACTTTTTTCGAAGGTGTTGGCGACATACCTGTTGATGGCTTTTTTAATAAGAATTTTATTTTTAGTTAATTTTTTGGTGAAAAGATTTCCGAGCGAACATCAAGTCTAAGCTAGATAGATTACAGCACCGTCGAGTACCAATTTTAACAAAAAAAAAGTGCAAAAATGTTTGTTCGACCTAGAAAAATTATTGAAAACAGTGTTTTTAAAATGATGTTCATGTTAGTTCGATTTTTGAAAGGAATGATATAATTTCTACACTTAAAACCGCGCTATACTATCTATTTAAATGGTGAACTCGGAACTATACTTCTATGGAAAAAATTGAACATTTTACTTTTTTTCGAATGACAGTGTTGGCGACATACCTGTTGATGGCTATTTTAATACAAATTTTACTTTTAGTGAATTTTGTGGAGGAAGGATTTCCGAACAAACTTCAAATCTAAGATAGATAGTGTATGGCACCATCGAGTAATAATTTTGCAAAAAAAATTTTTCAAAAATGTTTGTTATAACTGGGAAAGAGATTGAAAATATTACTTTTATTTATGAACCTTAACTGAAGAATAATTTGCGCATTTCCGTGATTTTGACGAATTCCGTAAAAATTCTAACTTTAGCATATCATAAAAATTTAGTGTGGATTGAAGCTCAACTTTTTTTTAATTATACTTTTAAACAACTTTTAAGGAATCATTCATCACAATTTCAAGTTTTTTGATCGAGCCAAAAATTATTTATTGACAATTCTTGAAAAAGTCGATAACGTTTTATGGCTATAAAGCTTTAAAAGTGTCAAAATATTTTCAAAATGTTATCAAGTACTTATAGAAAATAGTAATATTAACATCTGGGAGAAATTTAATGGTTCGATGGTCAATTGTTTTTGAGTTGGACCAAAAAAACAAAATCGTATCTGTCAAAAATTGGTATTGCTTTGCCCCAAATCTAAAATAGCAAGAATGAAAGTCCACACATACTGCAGTAGGTTTTATTTTGATTATAATTTACTAGTTGGATAAATATTATAAATAACATTATAAATGATAAGTTTTCTTCTAATAATGTTTTATTTCAAAACTCGTATTTAGTTTTTTTTTTTGGTTTTAATCATGTTACACTAATTAGTCATAGTATAATAAATAACCACCCAACAACCCCCTACCAACGACCAAATTTTGTACTAGGTATATGTGTTGCTGAAGCAACACATGGACTATAGGATCATCGCCACTGGTTACACTCAGCATTCAAGTTATAATAATTTACATATTATTATAATATTTTAATTTAAAACTAATATGGTTAACTTACAGTAGAATAATAAAGTAAACATATTATACACTAAGTCTTGTCGTCGTACTGTTATAAACAAAATAGCTAACAATCTACCTTTCTTATTATAGTTCCTAAAATTCTATAGTATTAGTAGTTGACACTTGTATGTTGTAACAGTGATATTGTATTACATTTTCACGCTTTTTGACCCAACCTTTACAATTTTATTGACAATTATAGAAAAAAAAAACTATAAAAATTGAAAACTAAACATGTCCGTAAACAGCACAAAGCAAGTCAAAATATTTTGAATATTTTATCGTGTATAGAAAATGCTAATATAAAAATTCAGTATAAATGTAATTTATCTTACACCAAAAACCAAAATCGATTTTGTAGAAAACCAATTTTGCGGAAAAATTACCGTTTTTCCTTAATCTTTATTTTTATTTTCTCTGCGCTTTTGACAACTATTGGGAATTTTAAATTTTGACCTACCGAATGCACCAACTAGATTCACTTTTCCATCAAACAATATACTGTTGAAGAAAATTGAAAAAGTTTTACTGCCCCGAACGGTGATAACAGACAAAAAAAAACAACACATCATTGTAAGATCAAGGTTGAATCTCAAACAAATGTGACGATTTTTATTGTATATAACACCCAATATTAATTACTATAGTCTATAGAGTATAGATATTGTTTATTATTCGATAAAATATCACTATTATACTTGTCGACTTATTTATTCTAATAAAAACTTACTATATTATTTACCAATCAGCAATATTATATGAGAACAATAAAATAAAATAAAATACCGATATTATAAGTAGGCAGATATTATATTTTAATATTAAATTATAACATACATTTTATTATAAAAGTCCTCTTACAGTTTGTAGTACCATTATGCATCTTGAATTAAGTGGGTAAGGAAGAAATAAATAGCGAAATAAATAATTGTCATCTGATATAATATCATAAATCACTTGGTTAAAATCAATTTTTTCAGACTACCAGTAGTCCCAAAATTAGTTATCATTTGAATCATCATTATTTAATGGAGAATGCAGGTCTTTTGGCCATATATGATTTGATTTGAGGTATATCCAATATTTTTTTTTTATGTGCTTGTAAAATCGGACGACCCTCTATTAGATCCACTTTTGCCAAAAAGCTCAAAAAATCTAACAAAGCTACAAAGTGTATATCAGCCAAGGACAACTAAAATAAATAAAATAAATAAAATTAATTTTTGCGAAATTAATAAAATATTATAAATAACTATTGAAAAAAAAAAACACAATTTTGAATAACGAAATAAAATTATACTAAAACTAAATCAAAGTCTGTATAATATTTTATAAATATAATATTATTATGTGCAATGAGTGTTTTTACTAACGGCTAATCTCAGAAACTATTGGATCAATTTCAATAAACGTTATATCAATAGATTCCTTGAGGAATAGACCGACGGATGTTTATAGTTACTATTTTATAACTTATTTATGGAAGTTTAGAAAGTAGTTTGAACCATGTACAAAAACACTGAAAAATACACCAAGTGCTTTATCTAATCTGTCCAATTAGTTCATAATGCAATAGGTACTCCTTTGCCGATTTTTCCGAAAACATAGGTATACTTCTATAACCGAGATAGACCGAATATAGGGCCATATTTTATGTTTGTTTATTTTTTCCTGGGTGAAGTCAGGTCTTACAACTATTATAGTATAAACCTCAATATCGATGGCGTAGCGCACAAGTGTGATAAGTGACATTTTCGTAATTGTTCAGGAGAACGATTTTTAAGTTTGAGATGTCATAACAAATTCAAAAATGTAACGAACTGTACGACGTCTATCGGAGTAAATAATGAACTATTCACTTACAACGTTTGGGCATAATGTGCAGAATTGTATGATTAAATTGATTATGCACTTAACTCATTTTTCAAAAAAATGTCACTTATCACACTTGTGCGCTACGCCATCGATATTAATATATTCTAAGTAAATAACAAACACAAAAAAAACTTAAAATATTATGATGTTGCATACAACAATTATTAATTCATTTTTTAAACATATTATACGAATAATAGGATAGTATAATACATACATCAAGTAATAATTATTATGTAGTGTATTAAATCATTTTTAATATAATAATATTTCATTAAATTCAATAGTTTTTAATATTTTATTAACATAAATATGCTTTTAAACTGAATCACGTTTTTTGTTTTTTGACCAATCTTTCGTAAAGTTATCTTTGTTATGATTACTTATTATCAAACATATTGAACTTATGAATCATTTATTTTCCTTGAAAATTAAAAATATCGAGTAGTGAGCTATGGTTTTATGAGCCCGTCTATTAATTATTATATTTATAGGTATTAAATATTAATAATTGTATTAGACAAAGTTAATTTCAGTTTTAAATCAATAATTTAATTTATCTTATGAGTTAATATTTTATAGTTTTAAATATGCAGATAATTAAAATAGCATTACCTTTCCATTTACAAAGTATCCATTATTTTCTCCCACAGTATTTTCAAATTTGTTCAAATACAACGGTATAGTTTCGTTTATAAGAGTTACATATTTTTTAGCTTTAGATTCTTCGTTTGGATCAAACGCTGACAATGCAAGAGCTTTGAAATTAATAAAAATTATATATAATTTACATATTTTTTTAAAAATCAATAAATTCATTTTTATATTTTACCTTCTCTCAAATCATTAACGTTATCAACAGCGATATCGATCAGTAAAGATTCCCATTCATCACTACCTGCTAATCCAGCTTTTTTCGATAAATAACGACTTATGGCTACTGATTGATTCAATGCTTTACCATCGATTTCTAAAACTGGGACTTTACCAAATGGCATTGCTAAAACAAATAATAAATTCAATTCAAATTATACAGTAGGTAAGTTTGTTAGGTAAATATATAAATCAGGTTGATATACTGCATAGGCCTACTATATTATACTAAGTATTAACAATTAACGTAGTATTATAATAGAACATACATAACTAATATTTATTTAAAATATCAATCCCTATAGAATGAATAATACAAATGTGTCTTAACATTTTAGAAAATGGTAAATTGTATTTGATCACAACAATAGTTACTAAATATTTATTGTGATTCAGAAAAACAAAGATTTGATTACACACCGTAAAATTTTTAATTTATTGTAATTTTTAATTATATTATATAAATATTATGGGAGACTGAGTTTTTTTCACTCATACGTTGATTAGTGATTACATAGTTTCAACGTAAAATCATTGAGTTTATAGCATTGATATACTCATTGGTAATTGGTACATAATTTTATTGCTTTTGAACTATTTTAATTGTTTTTTTTACATTTTTTTTTTTTAGAATATTACACCTATTTTAACAATGTCAATGGACAATAAAAATAAACTCAAATATTTTAAAATAAACTGAATTGAATTATTATTTGATTGAAATTTACTACGGAGTTCCTTTAATTAATTTAAATACTTAAAATCATTTTTTTCCAATATTAATTGCAACCCAATGACTATTAACTAGCCATATAGTCTTATTATAATAATGTAAAATGTATATCAATAAAATGTATGTATTTATTTAAAACTGTTTGATTACTTACTGGGTTTGATTGATGGCCATTGTTCTCGTTCGAACCGAAAATCTTCAAAATCGATTTCCAAATAGGACAAGAGAAACCTGATAGGTTCTGCCAGTGCAGGAAAATTGAAGTAAGTGAGTTTGTACACAGCCATTTCTCTGCTGAAATTCTGTCTATTAATTTCAAAATATGTTTTACTTATTTTATTAGTCGAATTTATTGAACGTTTATTTTTAATAGAATACCTTCGACTAATAATATGTGTTTGATACTCATTGGTACTTTATACTCAATGGTAATACTTATAATATTTAGTTGTAAAAAAAAAATAAAGAGAATACGATAAATTGCAAAATACTTACAGCAAAAAAAACCTTTGAATAATATTGTTAACGAATGGATATCGAAGACAACTGTATGCAATACTGTGTCGTTGAACTGTAATTATTACAATATGTCTGTTATAATATCCAACCGTTCATTTATATATGCTGCTAGTGGATGAGTGATAAAACAGATTATACTGCCTGCTACAAACCATAAAACCTACTCGTCACTTATCATGGCTGTTGCCTAAATTGTATGCAATTTCTTTATTTATACAAGCTGATTAGACAGCTATCATATTTCGAGGACGTTCACGTACGGCCGCCGAAAGCGTTGGAGGCAATGGTTTTAAGAGCAAAAGCGGAACATTTACCACGTAATGGTTATTATTACGATAATATGACTGCTACTTGATTATAGTTTCCGTCCATGGTGAGATCATCAATCTCGAATGGTCGATGACGATATTCGATATAAGTGTTATCAATTACGTTGGTAATAACAAATGTAACTATAGCTAACATGATAAGGCATCGAATCTTATTTCTTAATTATTTCGGTAATCTATGGCTAGTAGAGCAATGTTTTGAATTTCGTTTAGCGCTATCGTCAGTAGATATATATGATTATAATCACGGTGAGCCTTCAATCATACACACGACGTTTGCTTTTTTCATACCTACTTGCTTTGTCGCATAAAAATTTGTCCATTTTTTTATTTTAATACCTACTTATGTGTCACGTTAATTTTTTAATATGAATCATCTTGGGTTTCTACTTTCTACTAAGTCAAAATCAAAAACACGACAAATTGACAGCTTAGACATTTTAAGTTGTAATAAGTATGTAGAAGTCGAATGTCAGTGCAATAAGTTAGTAACCGTAAACTCTGTTAATGTGTTTGATATTGGCGCCTAAGGTGGGCATTAACTTGTTAATAAGTTAAAGTTAAGTTAAAAAGTTAAATTTTTTTTAACTTTTTAACTTAACTAGTTAATTATTTTTGTTTTTAACCTATCAACTTATTCAGTTAAAATTGTTATTGTTGTAACTTAACTTTTTATAGTTAATTATCATTGTTGTGCAGTTAAGTTAATTTTCTTTTCGAGTCATGCGTAATCAACTAGGCAATACTGATTCGTCGACATTTTTACAATTTTGGTAATTTATTTTCGAATTATATATAATAATAATATAATTTCTTACACAGTGTTAAATGTCTTGGTAAATGTTTGTGTATAACAAAATACTATGGTAGTTTATGTCTTAAAAATATTGTACTTTCAAAAAAATTAACTTTTTTTTAACTGAGATAAGTTAATTTTATTTTCTATCTTAATTTTAAACTTATCTAGTTAAATTTTTTTATTTGTTAACTTTTAACTTAACTTGCCACAGTTAATTATTTTCATTAACTTGCCCACCATTAGAAATTGGACAACTTGCAGACGTTAGTATTAGTGATTTGAGTATCAAAGAAAAATTATTAAACAATCATTGATGTTCTGGATTATAATAATAGGACAGTACTTTAGGCACTATTGTTGACAAGGTTAAGAATATTATTGTTGTTTATTAACTATTATCAAAGGTAAATAGATGTATTTTGTTATGTAAAAGATTATCTATGTACAAAATATGTTATTGTAAGATATTTATTTTTTATCACATTAATAATTACCTATATATATATATATTACAAGGTATATTAAGTATTTTGTTGTGACAGCCGACAGTACCAATGTGTGGTATTTTTGAATATTATACATATTTATTTTGGATAGGAATTTTTAATATATATTTGTATTTTTGTGAATATCATAATCAGTATTGTAATGATGATATTCCAAAAATACCAAAAATCACCAAAAATCACTCTCAATGTTGAAGATTAGAACAATAGTATTCTTCTCCAAAATGTATTGGTAATAGCACCAGACAAAAAAAACACACAAATTCATCATTGTAAGACACAAAACCAATACAATACCAGATCGGCTCAAAATGTAAAATAACAGTAGTTAATTATAAAGTTTATGACATTTATCTTTTTCTTTTAAAAATAACTCAACTCAAACTGTACCTATATCTGATACAGTTATACAATTTTACTTGAATGATATTTCTTAATTTTTAATCATTATATATACAACATACTATTATAAATATAATACATATCTACAAATGAACACTTGTAAATGATAACAACTCAAGTAATTTACAGATTCGAACTTTATGAAATTTAGGTACGGATTTGAAATATGAAAAATGCCGATTATTCTCGTAGAAATAATTTACGTACAAATACATAAGTATATACAATATTATAATATGACTTGCTTTTTATTGTATATAAGTGCACAGTTGGAAGAAGGTTAGGGGTTTCCCCCCCCCCAACATTGTCTTTTCACAGACAAAAACTTCTTAGTTATTACAGCTATTTTGTAGTAATGACTTTTTATTAATTATTAATTATTTTTTTAGTTGTGTCTGAGTACGCGATAAGTAGTCGAAATAATACTTCGATTTTCAACTTCAGTATCTTGTTCGATGGAAATTGGGAAAGAATCTAGTTGGTGCACAGGGAAGTCAAAATTTAAAATGTCCAGTAGTTTTCATAAGTTTTTTTTATAATCATTTTAAGTCAAAATGTATCAAATTTAAAAGTTAAAAATGATTTTGTACTTAAAAATGTATAAAGTGTTCAACATTTATAGTTAAGTATTTAAAATGTACAATATAGTTCCACGTAAGTTGTTTATTCTGTAACCAAAAAATATAAAAAAAGTAAAATTTATTTTTAATTGTTCTTTTATGTTCAAATTTGGTCGAAATTAGATATTTAAACGAAGAAGAATAATTTTAGTTTTGTGTTATATTTTTAAAATATTATTCGTTCGTACTTGAAACTTCTAAAGTATATTATTTTATGAAAATATGATAATAAACAAATAATAGTAATTCAACTGGCTACAGTATTAATAATAACAATATACATATAATATAAAATATCCTAGGCTGACAAGCTGTCTCTGATCAAAATTGTTTTTCGTATACAACAATATTATATCATTGAATTAAAATTTAACATCATGCATTCATGCATCACAGTCACCCACTTTTAACCTACTGTACAGCAGAGAGACTTCCACTTAACCACTTTTTTGTTTGTTTTAAAAATGCGATAAATTTTTTCAGTTTAATGGTGTTATTTTAATTATTAATTTTAATTATAGTAGAACAATAAAATTAACAAATTTACACAATTATAAGCTATATATGATTTTGGATGGCTTGAAACATAAAGCCCCTTATTTGTGTTTTTGGTATTACCACGACAATTCATTTAAACGTATTATTACTTGTAAGTTATAACTTCCCCCCAACCCTGAGATTTCCTGGGCACGTCATCGATTATTTTAGATATTATAACTTATTATTTGATACGACATGGTGATTATTCTGGTTTGACATAGATTATTTAGTCTAAATAATACCTACTGACTACTGTAAACATTTATTAAAACTCTGAGCTTCAATAACTTATATCGTTATAGAGTGACCGATCGCCCAAACCTATTATAACAATAAAATAAAATACATAGGTAATGATGATATTTATATATTCTTATAAACAAATTTAAAAACATTAATCTTATTATAAAAGTCCTAGTATTCACAGCATTTTTGTGGTAGTTTGTTACTAGTGTGCATCTTGAATTACCTGGGTAGGGAGGAAAAAAACAAAATTACAAATTTACTCTGATACATTATAATAACTAATTACCTGTAGTCCCAAACTTAGTTATCATTTGAAACTTCATTGTTTCATGGAGAATGCAGGTATTTTGGCGATCCATGATTTAATTGGAGGTATTTCCAATACTTTTTTTTATGTGCTTGTAAGTTCGGACGACCCTCTAGTAGATCCATTTTTGCCAAAAAGTTAAAATATTCTGAAATACATAGCTATACATAGTATATATCAGCCCAGGACAACTAAAATAAATAAAATAAATAAAATAAAATAATTCAATTAATATTAATGAATATAATAATAATAAAAAAAAATACATTTTAAATAGATATAAAAAACAAATTTTAATAAAATAAAATCAACATCTTTATTTTATATAAATTGTGAATTGAGTTTTTAACTAACGGCTTAACTCAGAAACGACTGGACCGATTTCAATAGATTATTTCCATGTTTTGTAATAGGCCTTATCAAAATGTTTTCTATTGAGTTCATTATAATATTAACTATTAAATCAATTCACTTTTATTTTCTTTTTTAGATTCTGAGTGGAACGATGAATGTATTGATTTTACAATGATGTGTGTTTTATTTTTAGTTTTTTTTATTTTTTTTAATTTTTAATTTTTGTGTCTGTGCATACTATAAGTAATCGAAATAATGCTTCGATTTTCAACTTCAGTATCTTTTTCGATTGGACAGTAAATATTGTTGGTGAATTGGAGAGGTCAAAATTTAAAATTCCCAGTAATTTTCAAAAGCACCAAGAAAAATAAAACAAAAATTAAGGAAAAACGGGAACTTTGACGCAAAATTGGTTTTTGGTGTAACTCTAAAACAAATGACCTTAGATACATGACATTTTCCCTGGTTGTTTATATTTGCATTTTCTATACACAATAACATTTTCAAAATATTTTCATTTATTTTGAACTGTTTAGGGACATTTTCAGTTTCCAATTTTATTAGTTTTTTTTCTATGAATGTCAATAAAACTTTATTCGAAAATTTAATACAAGGATCCTACTATATTGTTACATTGACATTTGAAAAATATTAAAAATCCTTAG